TTAAAAAAGTAGAACCCAGATAGAGAAACTGTGTTATCTATTAGATATTGTAACAAATTTTATTCTGCATATACATCTTACGTGATAATATGTATTTCTGTACCTTCCAGTTTCTTATAAATTCGCACTCTAATCATGACACGTTTTTCTATGCTTCCACACTGCCTTTCCTCTGCGTAACTCGTTTCACTTTTTCGCTAATAGAAAGTGACTATAGTCGCCCAATGTCCGACGATCATTGTGTACTATCGGTGACTATATTCACCTAACGAGTGCAGTAAGTCAACGTCTGATGCTCGCTGTGTATGTACTACTGGTGATTTTCATCACCCAATAAAATTTTGCATTTATTCTTAACCCTTTCCAAGTACTTCCAGGCACAGACAATATTTAATAATATAGTAAGGGGAGGGAGATAAAAATATTATTAATAAATTCAATTTAATTACATATTCTATTACATAATCAATCAGTATTCTGCCGTCTTTGATCGATATAAAAATAATTTAGACAGTGATTGTTTTGAGACAATTTCAAGAAGACTTCGATTTAATGATTCCAGTAACAGTGAGGAAGATGAAAGTAACACGATGAAAATTATCTGCTTAGCAACTGACAACAAATCCCTGAGAAAGTACTTGACCCACAGATAAATAGTTCAAGCGAACCCATTGAATACTTTTGTTTATCTTTATTGTACAAAACGAGTTGTTGTAAGATATACATCCTGCCAGTTGCTTTAAAATTTACCATGCACGGGGAAATTTCAAATAATTGATGACACGTTCATGTTAGAAACAGTAATGCAACATTTCGAATAAAACCGTTCGCGAACTCTTGCCTATAATGTTTACTTGCAAATAAATAATTTACTAGAAAAAGCCGGAGTTGTTGATGTATCCATTTGAGCAAAAGTTGGAGTGCAAAGGGCTAACTTTTGGCAGAAATAAGTCTACGTTGAAATTGCTTCGTACCGCGGCAGCACATTCGCGCGAAGAGGTCAAACTATCCACAGGTCAACAGTTTCTGAATTTTCGAGAGTAAGCTTATCGCTCCCCAGGATAAGAACAGCGTCCGATGAGTATTTTGTGCACGAGTCACGCGTTCGAGTCACGGCCACCTGTTGTTTGTCGCAAAGCGTTCGGGTTGCAAAAACGGAACAGGGAGGTCGCCCTCTCCTTCCGTAAGACGAGTTCGCCTAAGTTCAATATTTCTTCGGCAAATATTGACGTGGGTTGGTTTCCTGTCGAAAATATCCTGCGTGAAGCAGAAAGAAAGAAATTCTAACACCATGAGCGAAATAGAAATTTAAAGTTTGAACGTTTGTTTAATATCTCGCGCTCGGGGGGAAGGGGGGGGGGGTAAAATTGGAGAACGGGACCCGAGAGGACGCTCGAACGAAAATGTAAAATGAAATTCCACGGAATATAAACGAACTGGAAATTTCGAGCTGGAAGAAGCTCTCTCGCTTAGAGTCGATTTCTTTTTTTTCTTTTCTTTTTCCTTCCTCCCCCCGTTTCTAGATTGTAGCACTACGAACAATAAATTTACCGTCGATTATCGAGAGGGCGAACGATTCCCGACGAGCCAGAAAATGGGGGAATTTACGATGAAACGAGTGCATCGAATTAATCCCGGGGAAAAAAAAAAAGTATAATAAATTCACTCGTGACGCGAAATATCGGCGCGGAAAAATCAGGAGGGAACTTGTCGAATGCACGGCGAATCTACAATTTCGTTCTGGAGTTTTATTCGAACATAGTTACATCATTTATCTCTTGTAACTTTATTATCAATCGTGAGGACAATAATTCGATGTAAGAAAAAGTAATGTCAGTCGAATGACGACGAATTGAAGATGATACTTGGAAAGCAAACTCTTTTGTTCCGTATACTACTGTCAACATTTTTGACAAATGTTAAAACATACTTTCTTGAAATTTTTTGAAAAACCTTCTTCGAAATGTATTAACCTAAAAAAAAAAAATAATCACTTTCGAAATTTTTTAGATCGCTTTTAGCGCCGACGAGAAAATTTGCACCTAAGCGAAAAATACTGACTGAATGAGCGAAGTTGATACAGTTTGAGAAGAAAATAAAAATTACCACAGTTAGAAAATTGAAAAAGATATAATGAATTAACGTAGCCGGTAATATGATTGCTCGACGCTGTGAGAATTGATACTGAGCCACGAAATCTGACTTTGGGATTACCGTGGTTCCAATCGGTCAGAAAAAAATTAAAAAAAAAAAAAAAGAAAAGAAGAGAATCGAAAATAAAAGAAAAAAGACC